GCGCGGCAGCTCCAGACTCAGCAGGGACAGCACCAGCACCCTCAGCGACAGCACCAGCGCCACCCACACCTCCAGCGGCAGGACCAACAGCAGTAGGCTCAGCACCAACGCCCTCAGCACCTCCAGCTCCAGGAGGACCCGCAGGTCCAGCAGCTCCGGGACCGGCAGCACCCGCACCCTCGACGGTCGAAGAAGCTCCAGCTCCAGCTCCAGCAGCACCTCCAGACTCAGCAGCACGCCTCCAGCGGCGAGCGTACCACTCGCGCAGCTCCTGTGGAGAGAGGGGCTCCCGGCGAGACGCAGCAGCAGGAGAAACCCCAGGCTCAGCAGCTCCAGACGTAAGCAGGGACAGCACCAGCACCCTCAGCGACAGCACCAGCGCCACCCACACCTCCAGCGGCAGGACCAACAGCAGTAGGCTCAGCACCAACGCCCTCAGCAGCTCCAGCTCCAGGAGGACCCGCAGGTCCAGTAGCTCCGGGACCGGCAGCACCCGCACCCTCGACGGTCGAAGAAGCTCCAGCTCCAGCTCCAGCAGCACCTCCAGACTCAGCAGCACGCCTCCAGCGGCGAGCGAACCACTCGCGCAGCTCCTGTGGAGAGAGGGGCTCCCGGCGAGACGCAGCAGCAGGAGAAACCCCAGGCTCAGCAGCTCCAGACGCAGCACCCCCAGGCTCAGCAGCTCCCGACCCAGCACCCCCAGACCCATCACCTCCAGGCACAGCACCCCCCGGCTCAGCACCCCCAGGCTCCGCACCCTCCGCAGTAGCACCCGCAGGCCCAGTACCCCCAGCAGTAGCACCCCCAGGCTCAGCACCCCCGCGCACAGCACCCCCAGAGTCAGCACCCCCAGGCTCAGCACCCGCAGCAGCACCAGAGTCACCTGTAACCTCGACCGGGTCAACGGCGTCTACCTGGGACACACCTGAGGGGGCAGGAACCTGAGGGGGGAGGGGGTCTACCGGGTGGGGAACCGGTTCAAGGAAGTCCGGGGGAGGGGGGAGGGAAGGAGTGCGGTAGGGGAAGAGACGGTAGAAGGGGACTGACTCGTCGAACGTGACGTCCTGGGAGGACAGAACACGACGAGAGGAGGGGTGGTAAAACTGCCACCCTGGGGCGTCAGTGGGGAAGCCAAGGAAGACACAGGGAGCAGCACGAGGGGACAGCTTGTCCGCAGACAAGTCGCGGACAAACGCCCGAGATCCCCAGACACGGAACACAGACGCATCGCCAACCTTCCCTGTCCACAGCAAGGCTGGGGACATCGCAGGCCGAGAGACCCGGGGGTGAAGGTTGAGCTGATGCGCCGCGTACCTCACCGCAAACGGCCACAGAAAATGGGGGGCAGCCGCATGCATCATGGACGTACGAGCGACATCCATGACCATGCCAATGCGGCGCTCAGCAATCCCATTTTGCTGTGGTGAGTCCGGAAGCGTGAAGGACTGGCGGATGCCTCGCGCACGACAGTAGGCACGCAGAAGGCCAGAGGAGAACTCTCCGCCTCTGTCTGAGTGCAGACGCAGAACAGGAAAGTCCGAGCCGAAGCTCTTCCTGAGCTGGAGACGAGCCTCGCGGATCCAGTCGATCAGCACCTCAGTGACCTCACCCTTGCTGCGCAAGGGGAGGACTGTGGTGTAACGCGAGTAGTCGTCAACCACCAACAGGAAGTAGCGCTCGTAATCCTGCCCACGGACGGGGGCTGGGCCCCACACATCCATGTGAAGCGTCTGCAGGGGAGCCTCTGTCGGGGGGAAGTGGGAGGAGTGAGGAGTAGCCCGGAGGCGACCCTCGACACAGGGGACACAGGAAGGTCCTGGCCCGGAGGGGAGAGGAGGGAGAGACTGGGGAAGACCAGAGACAAGGACACGGGAAGCCATGCTCCGAAGACGGGGCAAGGAGGGGTGGCCAAGACGGTGGTGCCACAGGAGAGTCTCGTGAGACAGGAGGCGACAAGTACAGGGGGCAGACTCAGGACCAGACCTGGACGCAGCAGCAAACACCTGACCCGACGCTGCTACCTGACCGGACGCGGGGACAGGAGGAGACTCAGTGGTCAGGGTGTAGAGGCTCGACCCCGGCCGACGCGAGAACGTGGCCAGGTGCCGGCCTGTGCGTGCGTCCGTGCAGTGGGTCACCCGCTGACTCGCAGGAGTGAACTGGTGAACCCCCGCATCCTGTAGGTCTGCACCACTCACCAAGTTCGTCGAGAACGAGGGGAGGTACAGGCCAGACAGGGTGCCCGAGGGGGCAGCCGGACACGGGAGGACAGTGGAGAAGTGAGCGAGGACAGGACCCCCAGAGGGGTCAGCCAGGGAGACTGCAACCGGCCGACCAAGCGGCGTGAGTGTGGTGCGGTCCCGAAAGAAGGAGCGAGAAGCCCCAGAGTCAAGTGTAAAGGTGAGGGAGGCCGAAGCCAACGCGGTACCTGAGAGCGCAGCCTCACCCGCACCTGAGGAAGCAGACTCACTAGCACCTAGAGCAGCAGCCGCACCTGTACCTGGAGCAGGAGACTCACTAGCACCCAGAGCAGCAGCCTCACCAGTAGCTAGAGCAGCAGGTCCTATACCTGGGTCAGGCGGGACGCACAGGTGACCGGCACGGTCAGCACTAGTAGGCAATGCATACATGGCAGTGAGAATAGCATCATAGTCAAGAGCATATATATCTACCCTCTGCCTAAGCAACTCCACCCAGTCGGGAAGCTCAGCCTCGTCGCCAAACACGGTACGCCAGGCGTCGCTCAGACGGGCGAAGCAGCGGGACGGTGTATGACTACGTGTCCCACAAGGCTGACCAGTCCGAGTACCAGTGCGAATCACGTAAGAGCAGCGAACAGCACTGAGAGACCCTCCACTCTGAGCGTACCACTCACGAAGCTGGCGAGGCGTGAGAGACACGCGAGAGGGTCGCGGGAGCTGCATCTGGCCGCCACCACGAGTAGAAGCAGCAGGAGTGGTAGTAGGAGTAGCGTCGCCACCCCTACAGCCCCAACCAGCGTACCACTCACGCAGCTGCTGGGGCGTGAGGGACTCACGCCGGCGTCGCTGGGGCTGCATTTGGCTCTGCAAGTAGAAGCAGGAGCAGGACTAGCAGCAGGGAGGCAGGCAGCCAGGCAAGCCAAAAGGCAGGCAGGCAGGCAAGCAGGCGACGCGCAGCGTGCTAGCAGGGCAAGAGCTCACCAGTGGTGGGAAGAGTAGGCTCGGCGACTCAGCGGCTCGGCAGCTCGGCGGCTCGGCGGCTCGGGCGACTCGGGCGGCTCGGCGGCAAGGCGGCTCAGCAGCAACTGCAGCTCAGCAGCTCGGTGACTCGGCGGCTCGGCGGCAGGGTGGCTCGGCAGCAACTGCAGCTCAGCAGCTCAGCGACCCGGCGGCTCGGCGGCAGGGCGGCTCGGCTGTGGGGCGGCTCGGCTGCTGCAGGTGAGCGGCTCGGCTGCTGCAGCGGGAGATGAAGGAGGAGGAGAAGCAGGGGAGGCCACACACCTGCCACCCCTCAGCTAGCCTCTCAGGTCCCCTCGACAGGCGACGGGAAAAAGGGGGGGGTGGGTGGTGGGGGGCCGGTAGGTGCAGCGGCGGGGCCAGCAGGTGCAGTTGCGGGGCCGGTAGAAGGGGACGGCAGGAGCCGTCAGGAGGGGACGGCGGGGCCGTCAGGAAGGGACGGCGGGGCCGTCACGAAGGGACGGCGGGGCCGTCAGGAGGTGACCGGGCCGCGACTGGGGCAGGCGGCGGGGCCGCGTAAGGGCCTGGGCGGGGCCGCGACAGAGCCGTCGGCGGGGCCGCGTGAAGGCCGGGGCGGGGCCGCGTAGAAGCCGGGGCGGGGGCCGCGCGAGAGCAGGCGGCGGGGCCGCGAAGGAGCCGGGGCGGGGCCGCGTGAGAGCAGGCGGCGGAGCCGCGTAAGGGCCTGGGCGGGGCCGCGACAAAGCCGTCGGCGGGGCCGCGTGAAGGCCGGGGCGGGGCCGCGTAGAAGCCGGGGCGGGGCCGCGCGAGAGCAGGCGGCGGGGCCGCGAAGGAGCCGGGGCGGGGCCGCGTGAGAGCAGGCGGCAGGGCCGCGACAGAGAGGGCGGCGGGGCCGCGTCAGTGAGGGCGGCGGGGCCGCAGGGGAAATGGCGACCCGAGGGGTCGCAAAAAAAAAAGATCGCGCCTCGGGGGGCGCTTCGGTGGGCCCAAAAAAACGGTCCGTAGAAGGACCCGCTCTATACCATGTGAGAATAAGCGAACAGGAATGATGAACTAGAAGTGAAAAGAGTACAAGTAGTAAACCCTAAAATTGTGTACCCCCTATAGGCTAACCCACTGTAGCCTACACAAGTATAACATATATAATGTTTGACAAAACATGCAAACAGTAACGCGGTGCGTGCGAGCTAGCTAGTGCTACGCTGGAAGCTAGGCTCGGGCTAGTCTCGAAGCCTAGGCCGACACGGCCGGTCCAGCAGTGCGAGGTTTGGGAAAACAGTGCGCGCGAATTCGGCGAAGCCCCGTTAGCAGTAACGGGCGAACAACGGCTGCTGCTGTACGCGATGTTGCAGGACTCGACTACGTCCACAATGTCGACTTCTGGCGACAAATGTAGATGGCGACGTCGTAGACTCAGCTGGGCGACTGAATGCGCGTCGTTGCAGGTGTGTGAGCGACTCTGTCGTTGCAATCGTCCACCAGGACAAAACGAAAGTTGACACATCTTCTGTACAACGGCCAGCAAATCCGCAAGCTGACCTGTCAGATTTGCAGGCCACTACACCGAGGCTGAAATTGAGTCGACTGGTAAAGGGCCAGCCTGTCGACTTTAGCGAAACAATTGGTCGACCAAAATGGTCGACAAAATTCAGCCAAAGTGTGTACACGGGGATCTTACACGCCCTTACAGTCCTGCCGCGCAGAATGCTGTCGTTTCTCGCCCGTCGTTGACGGCTATCCGCCTTTGAAAAGCGCAAGCTTGCGCGAGCGTCGCATCGTTAGCTCGCCTGCGCATATATTAATCGCTCGCGACCATCGCTGCTCATGGCGTCACTGCTGTCGTACGGAGCCGGCATCTTAGCCGGCGACATCGGCGCGAATCTCGAGGCCACGCTCGGCGTGCCGGGCCCTCTGGCCGGCTGGAGCCACGTCAACCTGCCGGCGGAAGGCGACGACGAGCCTCGTCCCGCGGAGGGGGATTTTCTTAGCCTTGTCACGCGCGAGGACGATGGCGTGGACCGCGCTGACGCGGACATGCTCGACGGAGACGGCGTGTCGCGCAGGCCAGTTCGGCAACTTCTAGGAGTCGATTCTCCGTCCGGGAGTCCCGGGAGCGCGTCGGTCCATCTCCCGCAGACCGTCCTCCAGGTCATTGCCACGTCACTAGAAGCTGACGTGGTCGTCATGGCGGTTCTATTGCCTCCGCCAGGCCCCACTGTCGCGGATATGGCGCAGGCGGCGGACGAAGCCGCGGCTGCTGCAGGCGCTCCCCCCGCCCCTCCGCCTCTCTTCCCCGGCGCTGCTTTCTCCCCTGTTGTGCCCGCCTTCGGCGCGCATTCTCTTGGCGCGGAAGCCAGCGCGGACAGGTCCGGGGAGTTTGGCGCATGCGCCAGTAGCGGAGGGGATGTTAGTGGGTACGGGGAAAGCGGAGGGTTCTGCAGCCGGGAGGGCATGGGGAGGCGCAGTGGAGCGGGGTTCCGTGGCGGCGGAAGAGGCGGGGAAGAGGGCGCTGGGAGATGTGACAGCCGAGACGAGGGAGGCGGAAGGGGAGGGGGGAGGGGGAGCGGGAGGGGGAGCGGGGGCGAAATGGAGGTGGTGCGGGTGGCGGAGTCGATCCTATCGACGCCCAAGGGGGTTGTGCCGGAGATGGTTCCCTTTTGTAGGCGCATGATGAAGGCATGCAAGCGACACAAGGTAATGATGAAGGCATGCAAGCGACACAAGGTAATGATGAAGGCATGCAAGCGACACCAGGTAATGATGAAGGCGTGCAAGCGACACGAGGTAATGATGAAGGCGTGCAAGCGACACAAGGTAATGATGAAGGCGTGCAAGCGACACAAGGTAATGATGAAGGCGTGCAAGCGACACAAGGTAATGATGAAGGCGTGCAAGCGACACAAGGTAATGATGAAGGCGTGCAAGCGACACAAGGTAATGATGAAGGCGTGCAAGCGACACAAGGTGATCATGCTTCCCATGCCCCCACCCCCTGCGTCCATTCTCTCCCCATAGCCCCGTCTTCCCCCCTGCGTTCATTCCGCCACCCTCTTCCAATGCCTTCCCATGCGTGCATCCCTCCCCCCTCCACCTTCCCAGGTGGTGAGCACGGCGGGGCTGTATCTGCCAGCGGTCATCGAGGACGTGCTGGGCTGCCGCCCCCGCCGCTTCATGGGCCGATTCGTGCGCCTGCACAGGTGCGTGCGTGTATGGGTAACTACCTTTGCGCTGCACACGTGAGTGCGTCGCATTGCTGTGTCTCACAAAAGTTCATTGGGTCGGGAACCTCCCTTGCTGGCCTTTGTACCCTCACTCACTCTGCGCTGCCCTTCACTCCTGCTTCCTGCTTCCATGCACTGTGGACCGACCCTGCCAAGGTGCTTTCTGAGATGCCTCAAAAGTGAACCCCCCTCTCTCCTCCTCCCTCCCCCAACCCCCCCTTCCCCCACGAGCAGCTACCGGGGTGTGCTGTACGCGCTGTGGAGCAACCCGGCCAAGGTGCCCCCAACAGTGGAGGAGGTGATGGGGCGGGCGGCGCACACCATGCCGCTGCTCATGGCCAACCGCATCTCCGCGCGCCAGTCAGCGCGCCTGGGGCAGCAGTTTGACGCCATCCTCAAGCGCATGCCTCAAGCTGTGGTTTTTGTGGACGACGAGCTGGCTCAGGTGGGTGGTGTGCATGTGTGCTCGCTCTGTGTGCACCAACCCTGTGCATGCCTGTGCTGTGCGTGCCAGTCTCTGCGCCAGTCAGCCCGGCTGGGGCAGCAGTTTGACGCCATCCTGAAGCGCATGCCACAGGCCGTTGTGTTCGTGGACGACGAGCTCGCTCAGGTGGGTGGGTGCAAGTGTGCCCATTCAGTTTGTGTGCATGCCGGAGCTCATGCCCATGCATGGAGATGCCCTTTCTCGTGCGCGCACTTCCCTCCATCGCTCCTCCCTGCCACCCTCCGCCATCTCTCTTTCTCGTTCCCTCCCCGTCACCCCCAGGTGGCGGTGAACCCAGCAGCAGCCGACCTGTTGGATCTGCCGTGCTTCGGGGAGGTGGACCCTATGAAGACTTTAGAGACGACTTTTGAAGCGCCTCAAAAGACTTTCCTCCACTGCCCCTTCCCTCCTCACTGCCGCCCCTCCCCCGCTCGCCCCAGGTGGTGGTGAACCCAGCAGCAGCCGACCTGCTGGATCTGCCATGCTTCGGGGAGGTGGACCCGGTGAAGGTCGCAACTGCCATGCGCCAGCTGGCCGAGAGGAGCGGTAACCGCCCCGACCTGCACAGGCGAGTCACGGCACCACAGACCCTCCAGCATCCTCCTCTCCTCCTCTCCTTTTGGATTGGAGTACTTTTTCTTGCAGACCATCCAGTCCCTTTCCCCCTTGCGCTGCAAGTTAGTCAATACCAACTTGCCTCTCTCGTACCCACCCCTTTCCCCTCAAACTGCGTCGCTCCCCATCCCTCCACTCCACCTCCAACACTTTTCCCCACAGGTGGTTCAGCATGGTGGCGGGGGCGGTAGAGACAGAGATAGAGGAGGAGTGGGAGCTGCGCGACCCGCCCATGGTGCTGCGCGTGCACTCGTACCCCGTGGCAGCACACACCACCTCCGCGCACGGCCGCCTGTGGCTCTTTGAAGACGTCACTGCCGACCGCCGCGCGAGGCAAGCCATTGCCGCCGCCAACCGCGCCAAGTCGCAGTTCCTTGCTACCATGAGCCACGAGCTCAGGACGCCAATGACTGGTGGGTGTGTGGGAGTTGAAGATAGTGTGGTTGGGTGAGAGTGAGTGGGTATGGATGTGTGGGCGTAAGTCAGTGGGTGGGTGTGGCTGTGGCAAGGCATCGCTGTTAACCTTCTTCTCACCACCGCACCCGCCCCCTCAACCAACCCCAACCACCGCAGGCGTGCTGGGCATGCTGGACTTACTGCGGTTAACGGAGATGAATGAGGAGCAGCTTTGATACGTCCCAACACCCACCACCCTCGCTCACCTCCCCCCACCAACACCCACCACCTCCCACCACCGCAGGCGTGCTGGGCATGTTGGACCTACTGCGGCTGACGGAGATGAGTGAGGAGCAGCACGGGGTGCTGAAGCTCATGCAGGCATCGGCAGACGGGCTGATGACGGTGCTGAACAACATCCTTGACTTCTGCAAGATGGAGGCGGGCAGACTGCTGCTGGAGTCCATCGACTTCAGCATTTCAACCCTGTTGGACCAGGTACGTGCCTGCTCGAGTCACTCCACGTGTTGTATGAGTCGTCTCAAGCATCGGCGGACGGGCTGACGACGGTGCTGAACAACATCCTTGACTTCTGCAAGATGGAGGCGGGCAGGCTGCTGCTCGAATCCATTGACTTCAGCATTTCAGCCCTCCTGGACCATGTGCGTGCCTGCTGGCGTGTGAGACGTCTCAAGAGTAGTCAGGTGCCATGTTCTAGCCACCACACGGGCTGATGACGGTGCTGAACAACATCCTTGACTGCTGGATATCCACCCGAGGATATCCACACGAGGATATCCACCCGAGGATATCCACACGAGGATATCCACCCGAGGATATCCACCCGAGGATATCACCCGAGGATACCCAGCGGCGTTCCTCCCCCACCCGGCTGCGTTCTTCCCCCACCCGGCTGCGTTCCTCCCCCACCCAACTGCGTTCCTCCCCCACCCGGATGCGTTCCTCCCCCACCCGGCTGCGTTCCTCCCCCACCCAGCTGCGTTCTTCCCCCACCCGACTGCGTTCCTCCCCCACCCAGCTGCGTTCCTTCCCCACCCAACTGCGTTCCTCCCCCACCCAACTGCGTTCCTCCCCCACCCGGCTGCGTTCCTCCCCCACCCAACTGCGTTCCTCCGCCACCCGGCTGCGTTCCTCCCCCGCCCAACTGCGTTCCTCCTCCACCCAACTGCGTTCCTCCCCCACCCGGCTGCGTTCCTCCCCCACCCGGCTGCGTTCCTCTCCCGCCCAGCTGCGTCTCTGGATGCAGGTGGCGGTGGGTTCTGTACCGGCAGTGCAGTGCAAGGGCATGCGTCTGATTGCCCTGAGTCCCCTAAGTCTGGTTGCCCTGAGTCCCCTCCCTGAGTCCCCTAAGTCTGGTTGCCCTGAGTCCCCTAAGTCTGGTTGCCCTGAGTCCCCTAAGTCTGGTTGCCCTGAGTCCCCTAAGTCTGGTTGCCCTGAGTCCCCTAAGTCTGGTTGCCCTGAGTCCCCTAAGTCTGGTTGCCCTGAGTCCCCTAAGTCTGGTTGCCCTGAGTCCCCTAAGTCTGGTTGCCCTGAGTCCCCTAAGTCTGGTTGCCCTGAGTCCCCTAAGTCTGGTTGCCCTGAGTCCCCTAAGTCTGGTTGCCCTGAGTCCCCTAAGTCTGGTTGCCCTGAGTCCCCTAAGTCTGGTTGCCCTGAGTCCCCTAAGTCTGGTTGCCCTGAGTCCCCTAAGTCTGGTTGCCCTGAGTCCCCTAAGTCTGGTTGCCCTGAGTCCCCTAAGTCTGGTTGCCCTGAGTCCCCTAAGTCTGGTTGCCCTGAGTCCCCTAAGTCTGGTTGCCCTGAGTCCCCTAAGTCTGGTTGCCCTGAGTCCCCTAAGTCTGGTTGCCCTGAGTCCCCTAAGTCTGGTTGCCCTGAGTCCCCTAAGTCTGGTTGCCCTGAGTCCCCTAAGTCTGGTTGCCCTGAGTCCCCTAAGTCTGGTTGCCCTGAGTCCCCTAAGTCTGGTTGCCCTGAGTCCCCTAAGTCTGGTTGCCCTGAGTCCCCTAAGTCTGGTTGCCCTGAGTCCCCTAAGTCTGGTTGCCCTGAGTCCCCTAAGTCTGGTTGCCCTGAGTCCCCTAAGTCTGGTTGCCCTGAGTCCCCTAAGTCTGGTTGCCCTGAGTCCCCTAAGTCTGGTTGCCCTGAGTCCCCTAAGTCTCGTACCTCACCTGCTCGCACTTCTCTCCCACATCCCATCCCATGCATGCAGGTGGTGGTGCTGTTCGAGCAGGCGGTGCAGGACAAGGGCATGCGTCTGCTCATCCACCCACCGCCCCCCGATGCTCTCTACGTCTGTGGCGACCCTGTGCGCGTCAAGCAGGTGGGTTGGGCGTGCAGGTGAAGGCTGCTAGGGAGATGAATGAAGGGAACAGCGAAGCACATGATTTGTTGCAGTCGGCGCTCACATCCATTTCTGCATCCGTGCATCTTTGCAAGAACCCGCTGCTGATTTCACCCCTCCTCTGCAGTGCAGCCCATCCGCTCCACACTCCTCCACATCCCATCCGCTCCACACTCCTCACTGTTTCCCCTCTCTCCCCTCCGCCCTCTCCGCCCTCCCTCCCCACCCACGCACACGCACACGGCAGGTGGTGGCGAATCTGGTGAGCAACGCAGTCAAGTTTTCCAAGCGCGGAACCATCACCGTCTCCTGGCGCATTGTGCCCGACCCCTCTGTGTCAGACCCCTCGGCATCCGACCCTTCTGCCTCTGGTTACAATGATGGTGCGGAGCTGGAATGCACAGAGAGTGGGGAGGTGGAAGCGGAGACAGGGGGAGAGGGGCAGACGGGGGAGGAGGGAGAGAAGGGGGAGGAGGGGACTCAGGAGTTGGGGCAGGAGGGGACTCAGGGGTTGGGGCAGGAGGGGACTCAGGAGTTGGGGCAGGAGGGGACTCAGGAGTTGGGGCAGGAGGGGACTCAGGAGTTGGGGCAGGAGGGGACTCAGGAGTTGGGGCAGGAGGGGGAAGGCAGGAGCCCGATGGAGTCGGGCAGTCGCTCGATACAGTCACACTCACACTCGCTTGCTGCCTCGCTGACTGTTCATGCAGACGATAGCACTGCTGCTGCAGACACACCAGAGACTGCGGAGGCAGCAGGGGCAGGAGGGTCAGGAGGGGCAGCAGCGACTGCAGGGGCAGCAGGGGCAGTAGAGGCTGGGGGGATAGCGGGGCTAACAGGGGCGCTGATCTCCCCTGGTAGCAGCAGTGGGGTAGAGGGGAAAGGGGTGGATGGGGGGAGATGGGGGGAGAGCAAGCGGGGGCGGATGTGGGGGAGGGGGAAGAGAGGGCGGGGGGAAAGCAGGGAGGGGTCTAGCGAGGGAGCGAGGCAGGGTCGGGGCAAGCAGGCAGCGAGTGGAGGGTGGGGGGGGGCAGGCGGGCAGGGAGTGCGAGTGCCCCGAAGCGTTTCTGCAGGGCAGGAAGGAAACGTATCCTCTGCGCCCTCAGCACAGCATCAAGGCACATCCTCCGGTGGCTTCCCCTCCAGTCCCGTGCGCAGCAGCAGCGGGCACGCAGGGCCAGCAGCAGCAGCAGCAGCAGCAGGGCAGGAGCAACCGCGGGTGCTGGCAAGGCGGCTATCAGCGGATGTCAGTCACGGAACGCGGGTCACGCGCCTGCACGGCACCTCGGGGGGCTCCGGCTCTGCTGACCTCACCCGACTGCTGCAACCCGCACCTCGCTCCGCCCCTTGCTCTGCCCTGCACTCTGCGCCCTCCCTCCCTCCGAACCTCGCCTCCCTCCCCCCGCACCTTGCTTCCATGCCCTCGCCCTACCTGGCCAGCTTCGAGTCGGCGTCAGCAGCAGGCAGTGTTCTGCCCAGGGGGCCTGCCGCTGCTGCAGCTGCTGCTGCCTGTGCGGGCGCTACAAGTGGGCCGCTGGGCTTAGAAAATGTTGCTGGCAGTGCGGCTGGAGGGCGGCTGACAGCTGGTCAGGAGACGCACGGGCCTGCAGGCTCGGCGATGGAAGCAGGCTTGGGGTTGGGTGCAGGTTCGGCGCCGAGCCTGAGTATGGGGGGGAGCTTGGGGCAGAGCGTCAGAAGTGCGAGTTGGGGCAGTGGGAGCGGGGCAGGAGGGCGGATGGAGTGGATGGGTGAGTGTGATGGGGGGGCAGTGAACGCACGAGCAGGGGGAGGGGGAGGCATGGGGGGAGGCATGGGGGGAGGCATGGGGGGAGAGAGAGCAGGAGTGGGAGAGGGGGACGGTGCAGGAGTGTTTGAATCGGCTGCTGACGTGGCAATGCTGCTGGGTGAACCTTTCATGCCGGTTTCCGGGCCTCTCAGACCCTCCGGGTGCAGCAGCGTGTCTGCTGACGTGGCGGATATTGTCGTGCTGGATGACGGCCCAGGCTCTGACGTGGCAGCTGACGTGGAGATGCTGTGTGGGGATATACTCCCTGCACCTGCTACAGCTGCAGCCACCACCACTCCTGCTACAGCCGCCGCTGCTACAGCCGCCGCTGCTACAGCAGCAGCACCTGCCCCCACCACTTACCTCACCCCCAGCACCCCTGCAATCCCTCCCACACCCACTCCCGCCTCCCCGTCCCTCCCCTCTCTCCGCCCGCCAGCCAGCCCGCGGCTGCGCGTGGTGTGGCAGGGCGGTCGAGCAGCGGGGGAGGAGGACGTGGGGAGGGTGAGTGTGCGGGCGAGCTCAGAGGCACAGCAGTGGCTGCGCTCTCTGCAGCAGCCGGTGGGCCGCCTGCACGGCTTTGAGGACGTGACTGTAACGGACAGCGTTGTACAGGACGGGTCCGTGCTTGTAGGCACGGGCGTGTGTGAGGGGCTGGGGGGCGCTGGGTTGCTGCGCGGGGGTTCAGGGGACGTGATTGTGCGGCGAGGGGGTGGGGCGCGAGGGGAGGGGGGCGGGGGGGTGGTGAGGAGGCGCAGTACGGGGCGGGCAGGGGCGGATGAGGTGGTGGGGCGCATGGGGAGGAGCGTGCAGCAGCGGGAGCGGGCACTCAGGAGACATGCTTCCGCTGGTGTGGCAGAGCAGGGGAGACGGGGGCAGAGGGGGGATGGGGGGAGTGTGGCTTGGGTTCGGGGGAACGAGGGGGGAAAGCAGGAGAGTGAAGGTCATGAGGGGGGTGATTCAGGCTGGGGGGAGCATCGGGAAGGGGATTCTGCTCGGGGGGGTTACAGTGGGGGTGCTAGTAGCGGGGGAGCAGAGACGGTTGTGACTATAGGGGAGGTGGTGGCTGCTGTGGGTGATGGGGGGTGTTCCGGCAGTGCAAGGGGAGACACTGGGGGGAGCATGGGAGGAAAGGAGGGTGGTGAGATGGGGTGTGGAGGGGCTGAGGTGGAGGAGGGGAGCGAAGAAGAGGAGGAGGAGATGGAGGAGGAAGAAGATAAGAACGAGGAGGAGCAAGTGGGGTTGGCCAAGGAGGGAGAGGAGAAGGAAGGAGAGGGGGAGGGAAAGGGGGAGGTGGGCAAGGAGCGGGAGCGGGTGTGGTACGAGGTGTGTGTGGCGGATGAGGGGGAGGGCATGGCGGAGGACGAGGTGCAGCAGGTGCTCTTCATGGCTCAGGCGGGCGCGCAGAGGGGGTGAGTGAGGAATGTGTGGGGTGGTGTGAAGGCAGGTTGAGGTCAACACTTGAGCTTCTCTCTATTGTCCATCACCCCCTCCCCTTGTTCGCCCCCTCATCTGCTCTGCATTCTCCAACCTTCCACCCCTTACCCGCTCCATTTCCCCCCTCTCTCTCCCCGTGTGCGCAGGGGAGTGGGCGGCACGGGATTGGGCCTGGCCATCAGCCACGGGCTGCTGGCGCTGATGGGCGGACGCCTCTGGATCAAATCCCAGCCGTCCAAAGGCACCCAGGCCTTCGCCCTCATCCCCCTCCTCCCCGCGTCCGCCCCCTTCCCCCCATCCGCCAAGGGTGGGCCCCCTGCCTCCCCCCTGGGGACAGGCCGGCGCTCCCCCTCGCCTTGCCTGGCCGGAGGGCAGGGGGGTAAGGAGGGTGAGGAGGGGGATAGGCAAACGCTGTCGACGAAAATGGAGGTGGAGGGGGCCGAGGGGGGTGGAAGAGAAGGGAAACGGGAAGAGAAAAGGAAGGTGGAGGGGGAGGAGGGGGAGGAAGGCGAGGAGGAGGAAGAGGAAGAGGAGGAGTGCAAGAGCCTGCGGGTGTTGGTAGCGGAGGACAACAAGGTGAATCAGCTGCTCATCCGCCGCCTGCTCAAGCACTACGGGCACGACGTCACGGTGGTGGGCAATGGGCGCCTGGCCGTGGACGCGGTGCAGAAAGAGAGCTTCGACCTCGTGCTCATGGACTTGCAGATGCCTGTGCTGGTGAGCCATGTCATGCTGGTGAGCCATGTCATGCTGGTGAGCCATGTCATGCTGGTGAGCCATGTCATGCTGGTGAGCCATGTCATGCTGGTGAGCCATGTCATGCTGGTGAGCCATGTCATGCTCGTGCGTACACTCCTCTCGCTCCAGGACTTCCCTTCTTGTCTACATTCCGGCTTCTGCCTGCTGCACTGTTTCTCCACTCCTTTCTGCGTCAACCATCTTTTTCAAGCCTCCCCGCCCTCTGCCTCCCCAGGATGGGCTGAGTGCCACACGCGAGATCAGAAAGCTGCCAGGAAAGGAGGCGCGCATACCAGTGTACGCGCTGACGGCGGACGTGTTGGCGCCGGAGATAGAGGCGGCGGGGATGGACGGCTTCCTCAGCAAGCCCATCGCCTGGGACAAGATGAGCCACGTCGTGCACTCTCTGCTGCACGCTAAAAACGCCAAGCTGAAGCAGCAGAAGCAGGCCGCCGCCGCTGCTGCTTCTGCTTCTGCTGCTGCTGCCGCTGCTTCTGCTGTTGGAAAGGGTGGAGAGGCAGGGCCGCAGACACAGAGCAGGGAGGGAGAGAAGGCAGGAGGTGGAGCAGCGGGCAAGGAGGTGGATGCAGGGAAACGGGCAGACGAGGGAACAGCAGGAGCAAGAGGTGCAGTGAGTGGCGCGGGTGCGGCTGCAGCAGAAGGAGGGGATGCGGCGGGTGGAGAGGGGGGAGGGGGAGGCGGCGGCAAGTTGCGGGTGTTGGTGGCGGAGGACAACAGAGTGAACCAGATGCTCATCCGCAAGATGCTGCAGCACTATGGGCACGAGGTGAGCCAGGCACGACATGAGCTTGAGGGGTGCAGCGCTATGCACGAGGGCTGCTGGATGGCTTGCGCTCTAGGAATCACTGTCGGGAGACCTGAGACCTTTAAGGGGAGGCCAATCGATGTGGCTCCAGTATTGTAGAGCTTTCTAGGGTCGACTTGCATCATTTAATATGCTGGTGTTGCTGTTCTGCCACATCGCAACGGCACTCTCCCTGGCGTGGCATGGCATGGCATGGCATGGCAGGTGACACTGGTGCTCAACGGGCGGCTGGCAGTGGAGGCGGTGCAAGCAAAGCCATTCGACCTTGTTCTCATGGATATTCAGATGCCCATCATGGTGAGTCAGGTCGCATACACCATCACATGTACGTGATTGGTGCATGAAAAGATACACGTGCCACTTGCGTGAGCCCCATGTGTTATGCTTGCGACATTGTTGTTGCGGGGCACGTCACTCATCTGCCATCCTCTCCCCACTCCTCCCCTATGTACCCTACATCACCAACCCTGCAGGATGGCTTGACAGCCACGCGTGAGATCAGGAAGCTGCCAGGAAAGGAGGCGCGAGTCCCGGTGTACGCGTTGACGGCGGACGTATTGGCGCCGGAGATAGAGGCGGCGGGGATGGACGGCTTCATCAGCAAGCCCATCGCCTGGGATAAGATGAGCCGCGTCGTGGAAACCCTGCTGCGAGCCAAGGCAGGCCAGTCCTGATTCTGAAATATTTTTATGTGATTCTCTGCTAGGGTTATTCTTTGGTTTTTCTCTCGAAATTAATTGTGAATGGCTTTGTTTCTGTGGCTTATGGATGATGTAAATAACGCTCTGCTCAGTTACGCGGTGTCGGTTGCTCTTATTACTGTCATCTGTGTACATAAGGTTATAATATCATTTCATTTAAAAAATGTGTTGTTAATCTACGAAGCACCCTATGCATTATCGAGGTTACCAGTATCGCAAAAAATCCTTGAAAGAGACCAGCCTTAAAATCGAGCTCCAGCCGCCTTTTGCATCCAATAGACAGAAAGTAAACACGCGATCCGACAGTTTGTAGGATCCTCGAAGCAGGGTTCGGGGAGGGCGGTAGGCGGAATGGCCGCGTGGGGCGGCGCGTTCCGCGCAACGCGCGCGGCGTGGAAGAAGCGGAAGGGGCCGATGCTGATGCCGGGGCTGCTGGAGGCGCAGCAGCTGGCTGTGGCTCGGCAGCCCGAACGTGTGCTTCGGAACCGAGGCTTGGTGGAGATCGGGCAGGTCTGCCTGCCGAACGCGCTGCAGCAGTCGATTAAAGCCATCGTCGCGGAAGGTAGTTTCTGTCCAGTTCGTGCACACGCTCTTATGACGTCACGATCCGCCCTCTCCTGGCGCTTTTTTTCCGCAGAAAGCATCCGCCTTCTCGCCCTCCCGCCCCCCCAACGCCTTCCAGATTTAGTTCAGCCGGGCCCCCCTTTCTCCCCACCCCTCTTCCCTCATCGCTTCCGCCGGCCCCCCAGGCGCAACCAGTTCCGCGCACGTGCACCGCGACGTGCGCCGGCTGATGTCTGCGTACGACGCGTTCTTCAGCGGGTGGCCGCAGCCGTCCGCGGAGCGCCTGGCGGACGACACGCGGGAGCCGCCGCTGATGCGCGAAATGGACGTGGGGCGCATTCCGGACGCGCGGATGGTGCGACTGCTGCGCGGATGGGAGAAGAACTCGTGGGGGAAGGGCACGGAGGAGGGCGGGGAAGGGGGCGCGGGGGAAGCGGCGGAGAGGGGGAAAGGGGGGGCGCGGGAGCGGGGGGAGGGGGGGAGGCGCGCAGTGGAGTATGGGGAGACGGAGGCCCTGGCATACGCGGCTGCGCGCATGCCCTCCACCTATGCCGCCGTGTTCCGCGCTCTCACTGAGGTGGGGAGCTTGGGCTGTGCGTATCGGGGAGAGGAGGGGCGGTTTATTGGGTGTTCTCTCACCCGCTGTGCCTGGCTGGCACACCAACAGCGCCACCCAACCCTTTGCGTCCTACACAGACCTTACTCCACCGTGTTGTATTCCCTCCTTTCTTCCTTCACCCCTCATTCTATCCTTCCCGCCTCTGCCCCTCCCTCTTGCTGCGCCCACCCCTCCTGCCCATACCCCCACTGGCGGCAGGTGAAGCGACGACTGCCCTCACTCTCGCCCTCCTCCCTGCTGGACTTCGGATCCGGGCCTGGCACCGTGATGTGGTGAGATGCGGTGAGATGCGGTGGGGTGTGCCGTGATATGGTGAGATGCACTGTTGTGCTTTGAAGTCCGCCCACCTGGCAGGCACCTGCTCATGCTCACTCACGGGTGCAGCCCACACTAATCATTCCCGCTTGCCACACCCACCTTAAACACTGCTGTATCTGCTGTGCTTTGCTTCTGTGCGGTGCTATATATGCTGCCCCTCACTCCGCCCTCACCTTGTGCGTGCAGGGCGGCGAGCGAGGTGTGGGGCAGCACGGTGCAGCGGGCAGCAGCAGTGGAGCCCGCTGATGCCATGTGGGCCATGGGGGAGCGCATCAGAGCTGGTGAGCTGTGAGAGGTGAGGGCAGGTGAGGGCCGGTGAGGGCAGGTGAGGGGTGTGGGTGACATGGATGCAAGTGGGCGGGACTGTGAGAGTGCGGTTAGGGAGTTGGACCAGTGCCGTGCCTTTCCTGGATGCACCATTGCCGTGCCTTTCGCCAGCCATACTGCCCACAGTCCATCCACACGCCTGCCTTGCCTGCCAGACTACCACAGTGCCACTACACGCTGGCCTTCCGCTGTGTTGAAGGAGCGTGGAGATCGTGGGGAGGAGCGTATGCGTGATACGCTTTTGCTGCCTAAGGAAATATATTAATATATCATTGTTGATTGTTCACCTTCTGTAGTGTTTTTTACCATTAATGCACTCACAGCAGCGATTCCTTGATTACTCATATTCAATGTCAATTTTGCCTGCACCTCCCTCCTTGACTTTCTTTCCCCATCCCCCCTGCCCTCCCTTTCCCCTCCTCCCTTCCGCTCCCCACCGCATCCCCCCTCGCCCTGTCTCCCCAACCAGTGGCAGCAGCGGGTCCCAGGCCCCCACGTGCGCTGCGCGATGCTGTTCGGTACACCAGTCTGCAGCACCTGTCAAGGGAGGCACGCGGGGCCGACAGGGTGTTTGACGTTGTGGTGGCGGTGAGAGGGGGGGGGAAGAGGGCAGGGGTGGGGGTGAGGGGTGGCTACCGATGAAGTGTGGGGAGAGGTGGTGTGTGGTTCTGTGCTGCCATGCCTACCTGGCTGCAGCATCACTCCTTTCGAACCGCATGTCTCTCGCACCATCCCCCGCCCTCCCTTTCTCACCACACTACCCCTGCTCTCCCATGCGGCAGGCGTATGCGCTGGGCGAGGTGGACTCAGTGGATGAGAGGCGCGCCATTGTGGACCGCCTCTGGAGCCATGCACGCCATGTCATGGTATGTCATGGTGTTTTTGAATGTGATGCCATATGGTCGCATGTGATGGCATGTGATGGCATGTGATGGCATGTGATGGTAAGTGATGGTATGTGATGGTTAGTGATGGTATGTGATGTGATGTTGTGATGGCATGTGGTGATATGGTACCATACCATGGTATGGGATGCATGCGCCTGCCTGCCTCTCCAACCGCATCGTCCTCCCTACTTTGTCTCATCTCTTCTCATGCCTTCTCCTCGCTTCACGTCTCCCACCTGTGCGTGTGTGGGAGCACAGGTGCTGGTGGAGACAGGCAACCCACGCGGTTATGAGGCCATAGCCAAGGCCAGGGCGCACATACTGCACACACAGAGAGCGGTGAGCACATGAACCATACGACGCCCGTTTCTCTCTGGCGGTGCAGCGTATGAGCTGGCGGTGCAGCGTATAAGCGGGCAGTGCAGCGTATGAGCGGGCGGTGCAGCGTAAGAGCGGGCGGTGCAGCGTATGAGCGGGCGGCGCAGCGTATGAGCGGGCGGTGCAGCGTATGAGCGGGCGGTGCAGCGTATGAGCGGGCGGTGCAGCGTATGAGCGGGCAGTGCAGCGTATGAGCGGGCGGTGCAGCGTATGAGCGGGCGGTGCAGCGTATGAGCGGGCGGTGCAGTGTATGAGCGGGCGGTGCAGCGTATGAGCGGGCGGTGCAGCGTATGAGCGTGCGGTGCAGCGTATGAGAGGGCGATGCAGCGTATGAGCGGGCGGTGCAGCGTATGAGCGGGCGGTGCAGCGTATGAGCGGGCGGTGCAGTGTATGAGCGGGCGGTGCAGCGTATGAGCGGGCGGTGCAGCGTATGAGCGGGCGGTGCAGCGTATGAGCAGGCGGTGCAGCGTATGAGCGGGCGGTGCATCGTATGAGCGGACGGTGCATAGTATGAGCGGGCGGAGCAGCGTATGAGCGTGCGGTGCAGCGTATGAGCGGGCGGTGCAGCGTATGAGCGGGCGGTGCAGCGTATGAGCGTGCGGTGCAGCGTATGAGCGGGCGGTGCAGCGTATGAGCGGGCGGTGCAGCGTATGAGCGGGCGGTGCTGCGTATGAGCGTGCGGTGCAGCGTATGAGCGTGCGGTGCAGCGTATGAGCGGGCGGTGCAGCGTATGAGCGGGCGGTGCAGCGTATGAGCGGGCGGTGCAGCGTATGAGCGGGCGGTGCAGTGTATGAGCGGGCGGTGCAGCGTATGAGCGGGCGGTGCAGCGTATGAGCGTGCGGTGCAGCGTATGAGAGGGCGATGCAGCGTATGAGCGGGCGGTGCAGCGTATGAGCGGGCGGTGCAGCGTATGAGCGGGCGGTGCAGTGTATGAGCGGGCGGTGCAGCGTATGAGCGGGCGGTGCAGCGTATGAGCGGGCGGTGCAGCGTATGAGCGGGCGGTGCAGCGTATGAGCGGGCGGTGCATCGTATGAGCGGACGGTGCATAGTATGAGCGGGCGGAGCAGCGTATGAGCGTGCGGTGCAGCGTATGAGCGGGCGGTGCAGCGTATGAGCGGGCGGTGCAGCGTATGAGCGTGCGGTGCAGCGTATGAGCGGGCGGTGCAGCGTATGAGCGGGCGGTGCAGCGTATGAGCGGGCGGTGCTGCGTATGAGCGTGCGGTGCAGCGTATGAGCGTGCGGTGCAGCGTATGAGCGGGCGGTGCAGCGTATGAGCGGGCGGTGCAGCGTATGAGCGGGCGGTGCAGCGTATGAGCCGGCAGTGCAGCGTATGAGCGGGCAGTGCAGCGTATGAGCGGGCGGTGCAGCGTATGAGCGGGCGGTGCAGCGTATGAGCGGGCGGTGCAGCGTATGAGCGGGCGGTGCAGCGTATGAGCGGGCGGTGCAGCGTATGAGCGGGCGGTGCATTGTAAGAGCGTGCGGTGCAGCGTATGAGCGGACGGTGCAGCGTATGAGCCGGGCGGTGCAGCATATGAGCGGGCGGTGCAGCGTATGAGCGTGCGGTGCAGCGTATGAGTGGGCGGTGCAGCGTATGAGCGGACGGTGCAGCGTATGAGCGGGCGGTGCAGCGTATGAGCGTGCGGTGCAGCGTATGACCGTGAGGTGCAGCGTATGAGCGGGCGGTGCAGAGTATGAGCGGGCGGTGCAGCGTATGAGCGGGCGGTGCAGCGTATGAGCGGACGGCTCAGCGTATGAGAGGGCGGCGCAGCGTATGAGAGGGCGGTGCAGCGTATGAGCGTGCGGTGCAGCGTATGAGCGGGCGGTGCAGCGTATGAGCGGGCGGTGCAGCGTATGAGCGGGCGGTGCAGCGTATGAGCGTGCGGTGCAGCGTATGGGCGGGCGGTGCATCGTATGAGCGGGCAGTGCAGCGTATGAGCGGGCGGTGCAGCGCATGAGCGGGCGGTGCAGCGTATGAACTTTCGGAGCAGCGTATGAGGGTGCGGTGCAGCGTAAGAGCGGGCGGTGCAGCGTATGAGCGGGCGGTGCAGCGAATGAGCCGGGCTGTGCAGCGTATGAGCCGGGCGGTGCAGCGTATGAGCGGGCGGCGCAGCGTATGAGCGGGCGGCGCAGCGTATGAGAGGGCGGCGCAGCGTATGAGCTTGCGATGCAACGTATGAGCGGGCGGTGCAGCGTATGAGCGGGCGGTGCAGCGTATGAGCGGGCGGTGCAGTGTATGAGCGTGCGGTGCATCGTATGAACGTGCGGTGCAGCGTATGAGCAGGCGGTGCAGCGTATGAGCGGGCGGTGCAGCGTATGGGCGGGCGGTGCAGGATATGAGCGGGCGGTGCAGCGTATGAGCGTGCCGTGCAGCGTATGAGCGTGCGGTGCAGTGTATGAGCGTGCGGTGCAGCGTATGAGCGTGCGGTGCAGCGTATGAGCGGGCGGTGCAGCGTATGAGCGTGCGGTGCAGCGTGTCAGCGTGCGGTGCATCGTATGAGCGGGCGGTGCAGCGTATGAGCGCGCGGAGCAGCAGCGTATGAGCGGGCGGTGCAGCGTATGAGCGGGCGGTGCAGCGTATGAGCGGGCCGTGCAGCGTATGAGCGTGCGGTGCAGCGTATGAGCGTGCGGTGCAGCGTATGAGCGTGCGGTGCAGCGTATGAGCGGGCGGTGCAGCGTTTGAGCGTGCGGTGCAGCGTATGAGCGTGCGGTGCAGCGTATGAGCGTGCGGTGCAGCGTATGAGCGGGCGGTGCAGCGTATGAGCGTGCTGTGCAGCGTATGAGCGTGCCGTGCATCGTATGAGCGGGCGGTGCAGCGTATGAGCGGGCGGAGCAGCAGCGTATGAGCGGGCGATGCAGCGTATGAGCGGGCGGAGCAGCGTATGATCGGGCGGAGCAGCGTATGAGCGGGCGGTGCAGCGTATGAGCGGGCGGTGCAGCGTATGAGCGGGCGGAGCAGCGTATGATCGGGCGGAGCAGCGTATGGGCGGGCGGTGCAGCGTATGGGCGGGCGGTGCAGTGTATGAGCGGCCGGTGCAGCGTATGAGCGTGCCGTGCAGCGTATGAGCGGGCCGTGCAGCGTATGAGCGTGCGGTGCTGCGTATGAGCGGGCGGTGCAGCGTATGAGCGTGCGGTGCAGCGTATGAGCGTGCGGTGCACCGTATGATCGGGTGGTGCAGCGTTTGAGCGTGCGGTGCAGCGTATGAGCGTGCGGTGCAGCGTATGAGCGTGCGGTGCAGCGTATGAGCGGGCGGTGCAGCGTATGAGCGTGCGGTGCAGCATATGAGCGGCCGGTGCATCGTATAAGCGGGCGGTGCAGCGTACGAGCGGGCGGGGCAGCAGCGTATGAGCGGGGGATGCAGCGTATGAGCGGGCGGAGCAGCATATGAGCGGGCGGTGCAGCGTTTCGGCGGGCGGTGCAGCGTATGATCGGGCGGTGCAGCGTATGTGCGGGCGGTGCAGCGTATGAGCGTGCCGTGCAGCGTATGAGCGTGCGGTGCAGCGCATGAGCGTGCGGTGCAGCGTATGAGCGTGCGGTGCAGCGTATGAGCGGGCGGTGCAGCGTTTGAGCGTGCGGTGCAGCGTATGAGCGTGCGGTGCAGCGTATGAGCGTGCGGTGCAGCGTATGAGCGGGCGGTGCAGCGTATGAGCGTGCGGTGCATCGTATGAGCGTGCGGTGCATCGTATGAGCGGGCAGTGCAGCGTATGGGCGGGCGGTGCAGCGTATGAGGGTGCGGTGCAGCGTATGAGCGTGCGGTGCATCGTATGAGCGGGCAGTGCAGCGTATGGGCGGGCGGTGCAGCGTATTAGTGGGCGGTGCAGCGTATGAGCGGGCAGTGCAGCATATGAGCGTGCTGTGCAGCGTATGAGCGTGCGGTGCAGCGTATGAGCGTGCGGTGCAGCGTATGAGCGGGCGGTGCAGCGTATGAGCGTGCGGTGCAGCGTATGAGCGTGCGGTGCACCGTATGAGCGGGCGGTGCAGCGTTTGAGCGTGCGGTGCAGCGTATGAGCGTGCGGTGCAGTGTATGAGCGGGCGGTGCAGCGTATGAGCGGGCGGTGCAGCGTATGGGTGGGCGGTGCAGCGTATGAGCGGGCGGTGCAGCGTATGAGCGGGCGGTGCAGTGTATGAGCGGGCGGTGCAGCGTATGAGCGGGCGGTGCAGCGTATAAGCGGGCGGTGCAGTATATGAGCGGGTGGTGCAGCGTATGAGCGGGCGCTGCAGCGTATAAGCGGGCGGTGCAGCTTATGAGCGGGCGGTGCAGCCTGTAAGCGGGCGGTGCAGCGTATAAGCGGGTGGTGCAGCGTACAATTTGGCGGTGCAACGACCCCCCACACACCCCCAGACACCCCCAGAGATTCCCAGCGACCCCCAGGGACTCCTATGGTCCCGCTTCCCTTGCTCGAGCCAATCTCGCCTTTCATGCCCAGTTGATCCTCTTGTGCATCTGTGTGCTTCTGCTCTCCGTCCTCCTCTGCTCTCTCCTGCACTCTCCAGCGTTGCCTCCCCTGCCCCTCGCTTGCCTCCACTCGTCCTGCTCGCCCCATTCCCCCTCGCCCCTCCGACATGATCCAGAAGGCAGCGCGACTGGCCGATAGGGGACCCAGCAAGAACGCCCCGGACCCCTCCAAACCCCTTCTGCCGCCCGGTGCTCACGTGCTCGCCCCTGTAAGTGCCACCTCTCCCCCCCTCAAAACTCGCTCCCACTCTCCCCACTTCCGTCTCACGTCCTCTGCTGCTCTCTCGCTTCCACCGCATGGCCCTGCAGCATCCCTTCCTTGTGCTTGCTTCCACCTCCTCCGTCCCATCTCTTGCACTCTTGAAACACTACCTTCGCCTCCCACCTCCTCCCGCTCTCGCCTCCCAGTGTGCACACGACGGGCACTGCCCCATGTACGGCACGACCAGCTGGTGCCACTTCTCCCAGACGCTGCAGCGCTCTGCCGTGCAGCGCATTGCCAAGGTATGGTGGCAGCCGTGCAGCGCATTGCCAAGGTATGGTGGCAGCCGTGGTAGCGGCCGTGCTGTTATGTGCCCTGCTCTTGTGCTTCTCCTCGTGCCCCTAACAAGCAAGGGCGCACGTCCTTCCACTTGGCCGTGCCACTTCACTCCTCCCCACTTCACTCCTCCCTTGTCTCTCGCCCTGCACTGCATCCTCCATCAATCCTTGCGGCATGGGCACGCCCTTCATCATCATACCTTTCGCTCTCCCTCGCCTCACCACCCCTCTCGCCCCTTCACCCGCGGCAGAGGGCAGCGGGGCAGGAGATAACGGGCAGCACGGAGGACGAGAAGTTCTCGTATGTGGTGCTGCGCAGGGGACCTCGACCCCTGTGAGTGGGTGGGGCGAGGCAAGGCCCGAGTGAGGGGGTGGGGCGAGGCAAGGCCCGAGTGAGGGGGTGGGGCGAGGCAAGGCCCGAGTGAGTGGGTGCGGCGAGGCACTGTGACCTGGGTAAGTTACTAAGGAAACAGGTGATGCCAAGCTTGTTCGATTTGGCACTGGCTCCAGGGGTGCCATTCGCATGTCTTGCCTCACGTCCCATCCTCCCCTGTTCCCCTTGTTGTGTCTGGCAGGGTGGTGGCGCCATTGCAGCAGATAGCCCAGTTCCGGAGGGAGGAGAAGGAGAGGCAGGCGAGGGAGGAGGCGGAGAAGGAGGCCAAGCGCCTGGCCAAGAAGCAAGGTGAGGAGGGGAAGGGTTGAGTCGCTGAGCTGTTAAACAATTGAGGCAGCTGTATGCCCTCGCGGTGCAAGTGTCAGGGTCTGTGGTGCCCATGTGGACAGCAAGGCCCATGCCCCATCCATGAGGCCCATGCCTCAGCACACATCCACCATGGCAACCCGCACATGCCTGCTGCTTGCCATTCCCATTCTGTCCTTCACTCCCCTCTCCGCCACTCCTGTTCGGTGTGCCCCTGCGCTGCCTCCACCACCAGCCAAGTGGGGACCGACAGTGCGGCTCATCCCCCTGGACGAGGGGACAGTGGGGACAGAGGCGGGTGCACTGCTGCAAGGGGAGAGGCAAGGGGCAGAGGGTGCAGGTGAGGAAGGAGAGCAGGCAGAGGAGGAGGAAGAGGAAGAGGAGGAAGATGAGGATGAAGAGGAAGAAGAGGAGGCGGACGTTCGACCGAAGCACACTTCTGTCGGTGCACCAGACGAAGAGGAAGGGGTCATCGAGGGCAGGAGGGATGGTGAATCTGACATGGACGGGACTGTCACTGACAGCAGTGATGAGGATGACGGTGATAACGATGATGCTGGCCTGGATGATGATACAGTGGATCCCACATTAGCCACTGACAACCCACCACGTGGCGACCGCTTTGCGAATCTGAGTCCCGAGTGGAGCCGCGTGATTCGCGAGCCGAGGCGGCGGGGGCAGCACGTGATAGTGGACGTGTGTGCATCAATGGACGGCAGGGGGCGGCGCGGCGAGCTGCAGCGGCTACTCTTCTCCAAGGCTGCGGGGCGCGTGGAGTACCGGTTTGCACGCAAGGTGCGGTGGGGTGACCTGTGGCCCAGCACTGGTGAGGCACAGGAGGGCAAAGAGCAGGGCGAGAGGGAGGGCACGGATACAAGTACCACACGCACATAGGATGGATTGCCGTGTTGGAGTGTGCCCTTGTGATGTGATGCAAATGCAGTGTAGACTTGCCATGGTTTATCCCTGTATGTATCTGCTGTGTACGTTCTGAAGCTCCTTGGCGAGCAGGAAGCACCCACTAACCTAAAACCACCCAACAATTCGGCATCCTGTACCCACTAGCGAACCAAGAACTGCCCACCAACCTCGTACACTCCCAGTCTTGTATTTGTAGGTTTTTTATCAAATGGTTTGTGGCATGGTCAACTCCCTTCACATACTAATATTTTTGTTCTCCTGAATGAGTTGTGAGGGGTGGTTGGGTGATGAAGAGCAGTTTGAGGGGTAAGTAGAGGAGGGTTCCGTTATACAACCCTGGTGGGGAAAAGTGTACAGAAGTACAGTGTACACACTATCTCGAAGTGATATTTCAGGGAGCTGCAACCTTGAGAGCATCTCCTCTAGAATCTTTTGTGCGGGGCGAGCAGGGGAGGCACAGCTGCGGGCAACACCGAGGAAGATTGAGTAGCTAGCAGCAGCAGCAAGGCGCAAACTGGCTTGGCCCTGGTGCAAATCACCGCTGCATCCATTCCATCCATATCCTCCGACCCTTCCATTTCGTCCTTCCATCCCTTCCATTCCTTCAAAGGCCCCATCGCTCCCTGGGACGGACAGGCCGAGACGGACAGACGGAGTTCGTCGACTGGCCGTACTCAATACAGACGGAGTTCGTCGACTGGCCGTACTCACCACAGAGGAGTTCGTGCTCTGTGTACTTGGTGCTGTCGTTTCCACATTCATCCTCCTACGCCGTGCTTCACGCGCGTTGCTTTCGTTCACTCTCCAGCTCCGATCTCTCGACGTTCAACCGTAGCATTCTTGAGATCCGGTTTCCGCTAGTGGAACAGGAATGAACGCGAGCATTTGAACAACGTCACAAATCAGTTCCTTGACTCCTTAGCGGCGAACCCATGCCCAGCAGGGCATTCCGTTCGATTTACGTTAGCGTGATTTCAAGCGTGACCGTTTGAAGCGATCATGACAACCAGCAGCGACACCCAGCCGCAGGAGCCGGCGCATACCGGGGGTCCCGAGGTAGCGCTCGTGTTCATCGGCGTGTCGCTGGCGCTCGGCGCGCTGTGCCGGCAGGTGCTGAGCAACACGCGCATCCCGTACACCGTCGCGCTGCTGCTCGTCGGCGTCGGGCTTGGCGCGCTAGGTACGCCAGGGAGTCATTCCTTAGGATCACGGTGACAAGCCATTTTCTAGGTACCGTGGCAGTGCCGAGCCATTTGAAGGAGTAAAGTGGAATCGCAATATCAGCATTCACAAAGTTCTTATGACGAGTTGTTTCCATCTGTGCGGGTCGTTTGTGGACCTGTGGTTCTGCTCGTGGTGGTGGTTGTGCAGAGTACTATGTCAACCTGGGATTGCTGGGGGAGAGCATTCGAAAGTGTACGCTTCAGTAACCCTGACCATCGCAATTGCATGTCATTTCACGCAGTCGTTCTAATTCCTTGCTGTTTGACTTCTTTCTGACGTTTATATTGCAAAACCCCCACTCCCTTATCTCCTTACTGGTTCCCCAGTTAACCAAACTTGTGCTGTATACCTTGCGACGCAATTCTGCATACCTGCGTGCTACCAGGGGCCAACATTGATCCAGAGCTGGTGCTCTACGTCTTTCTGCCCGCACTGCTATTCGAGAGCGCCTTTTCCTTCGAGTTCCACCAAGTCAAGGTCAGTCAACCGTGCCTTGCGCCTCGTGCTGCCTCTGCATGGAAATCCTTCATTTGATTGCCTTCCCTATCTTCCACATACCCAACTCCCCGCTTTTTCCCCTTCAAACTCACTTTCCGTATATTCCTTTGTGATACCCACGTTCCCCACGCTCCCCTTGGTGCGGCAAGAGCAGCGATGTCTGGTGCAAATGTTCCTGCTGGCAGTGCCGGGCGTGGCCATCTCCACGGGCTTCCTCGGAGTCATCAGCCGAGTAAGCATGCACGCAGCTCGAAGATGAGGGGGGGGAGGAAATTGTCATGTACCATTGAACGTTCTTCTGACCTAGCTCTAAGCCACTGTGATGCCGAGGTGAGGGCGCTCCTCTATCCTCGCCCTGACCTTGAAATTCTCCATCCCCCACATGCTGCATCGCGTGGGGTGGCATGGCAGTACGTGCTGCCGTATGGGTGGAACTGGGCTACGGCCATGCTGCTGGGCGGGCTGCTGAGCGCCACCACCCTGCTCTCCCATCTCTTCCCTCTTCCCCCTTTACCTTTCCCTGCATGCACGGCGTGCGTGGCAGTACGTGCTGCCGTACGGGTGGAACTGGTCGACGGCCATGCTGCTGGGCGGGCTGCTGAGCGCCACGGACCCCGTGGCCGTGGTGGCTCTGCTGCGCGACCTGGGCGCCTCCAAGAAGCTCAGCACCATCATTGACGGCGAGGCGCTCATGAACGACGGGTGAGCGGTGATGAGGGGGATAAGGGGTGAGGGGTGAGGGTTGAGGGGTTTGGGTGAATGATGAGTTGGTGGACGAAGAATGCTGTGGACGCGGGTTGACGTGCTGTCAGACCATCTGCACGCTCTCATTCGTCATCCTGCATCAACTCCTGTATCCTATCCTGTTCAACTGTGCCCTGCCCTGACCTGCCCCTGCCCTGCCCTGCCCTGCTCGTGCCTGGGAGCGCAGCACGGCCATAGTGGTGTTCCAGCTGTTCCTGCGCCTCACTCTAGGCTACAGCTACAGCATCGGGGATGTCATCGGCTTCCTCTTCAAGGTCACGCTTGGCGGGTCAGTGCCACATGCCAGCATGTTCTCACACGTACCAGCCTTTGGTCACACATCGCCCTCCCCTCCCTCGTCGTTATTCACACGTCTTACGTGTGCGACTTGTCCCTTTTCCCTCTTCCTCCCTGTGCTGCCATGGCGCTGGTGCTGGTGCATACAACACAGGGTGGGGTTGGGGATGGCGTTCGGGGTGGTGAGTCTGCTGTGGCTGCGCACCGTCTTCAGCGACCATGTCATCGAGATCACCATCAGCCTCACCGCCTCCTACATGGCCTTCTTTGTGGTGCGTGCACATGCGCATGCTGCACCACGTCAAACGCATGACGTGCCATGCCATGGGGTCAAGGGCATGCCATGCCATGGGGTCAAAGGCATGCTGTGACATGGGGTCAAGGGCATGCCATGCCATGGGGTCAAAGGCATGCTATGCCATGGGGTCAAGGGCATGCCATGCCATGGGGTCAAAGGCATGCCATGCCATGGGGTCAAGGGCATGGTGTGCCATGCCATGTTGTCATGTCACAATGCATGCGTATGACCTCATGCACCTTACTACCTGAGTGGGTTTCCTCGCTGCATGGGACTTATGATATGCATGTGTGCAAGTGAATGTACTCATCGACCTTCATTCATGGTGCTGTGCTCGAGTCTGAGGCCACCTCCCCATGTTTCGTTGCATTGCATCCCTCTCTCCCTCCATTCAGGCTAACGACGTGGCCCAAACATCGGGAGTGCTTTCAGACATGACGCTTGGCATGTGAGATTCATGACGCTTGGCATGTGAGATGCATGACGCTTGGCATGTGAGATGCATGACGCTTGGCATGTGAGCTGCATGATGCTTGGCATGTGAGATGCATGACACTTGGCATGTGAGATGCATGACGCTTGGCATGTGAGATGCATGATGCTTGGCCTGTGAGATTCATGACGCTTGGCATGTGAGATGCATGATGCTTGACATGTGAGATGAGATGCATGGCGCTTGGTGTGTGACTTGCATGAAGCTTTGTGTGTGACTTGCATGAAGCTGGGCATGTAACGTTTATGTGAACATGCCATTGCAGTGTAACTTGTTTAACAGTTTTGAAACCTCATCTGTCTATGTCTTAGGGACTCCTTCACATCTCACTCAATCCTCTCCTTACTCCCTTTCTCTTCCCCTCCTCTCACCACCCTCGCCCCTGATCCTTATGGCAGTATGTTTGCCATATTCGCCAAGACGGCATTCACAGGGGAGAGCGAGCAGGGCATGCACCACTTCTGGTGAGATCCCTTCAGCACTTCTCCGTTCCATGCCATCCCACACAAGTACTGTGCTGGAAGGCTGTGTCTCTAAAGCTCTCTTCCACAATGGCATGAACACGTCTCACGCATTCCCACTTGATGCGTGATGGCGTCATGTCTCGATGCAGGGAGATGGTGTCCTACATCGCCAACACGCTCATCTTTGTGCTCAGGTACCACTACACGCCAATAGCGACCCCATCCTGCTGGCTTTCAATGAAGGTTTGGATAGGCACTGTGCGAGTTCATGCTGTTGACATGGGATTAAGGAGTGTCTTGTCTGATGCTGTTGACATGGGATTAAGGCGTGTCTTATCTCATACTGTTGACATGGGATTAAGGCGTGTCTTGTCTCATGCTGTTGACATGGGATTAAGGCGTGTCTTGTCTCATGCACTGCAATCCTTTCTTCTCTTCGTCGTCGTCTTCACGTGGCAGTGGAGTGGTGATATCAGAGAGCATACTCCAGAACGCCAACTACATCAAAGGTGCTCCGCTCCTCGCTTCCCCATCCTCTCTTCTTCACTTTCATATTGCCTTCCTCTGCGTGCTGCTGCTGCTGCTGACTGTAGCAACGTGGTGCCCACCTCTTCAGTTCGTTTCAACAGCCACCCAACTCTGCTCTTCTTGCAACCTCCTGCCTTACGCCTTTACCCCTGATATGCCTCCTCGCATGCTCTACCGTGCCCTTCCTCTCTCCCCTTCCCCCCTGCACCCACCAGGCGCGGACTGGGGCTACATGATTCTGCTCTACGTCTTCGTGCAGCTGTCGCGGGTGGTGGTGGTGGGCGTGACATGTAAGTCGACTCAAAACTCTCCCCGTGCCTCTCTCCCCTTACCCCCTGCACCTGCCAGGCGCGGACTGGGGCTACATGGTTCTGCTCTACGTGTTTGTGCAGCTGTCACGGGTGGTGGTGGTGGGAGTGCTGTACCCCGGGCTGGCCAGCAGCGGCTACGGGCTCACGTGGAAGGAGGCCATCATCCTCGTCTGGTCCGGCCTGCGCGGTGCCGTTGCCCTCACGCTCGCCCTGCTCGTCAGCGTGAGTCGCAGCGCACATGGGGGTGTGCGGCAGGGCACATACGGGGGGTGGGGCACATGGGATGGGAGGCGCGGGGGTTCCCTGCTGTGTCGTGTCTGCTGCATGCTGGGCTCCGTCGCTGTCTCTTTCTCTCCTTCCCAAGGTTCATGCTTTGCCGAATGGCTTCCCATCCTCCCTTTCTGAAACGTGCGCATGCTGTGGTATGCTTCCGCCATGGGGCGTCAGTCTCGCAATTGATTGACCATGATGATTCTGCCCCTCTTCCCTTTCTGCCCCTCTTCCCTTTCTGCCCCTCTTCCCTTTCTGCCCTCTGACAGCACGAGCCGGTAACAGAAAACATCACTAAAGAAACAGAAGCCAGGGTGAGTCTTCTCCTGCTCTCCATCTACTTTCCTCTGCTCTTCAAAAATCATTTGCACCCACGGCTAACTAGCCAGCCATATTCCCGTCCGCATTTTGCTGTGTGCAGCGCACCTCTTTTCCCCTGCTTAATTGGTGTTTAGAATTTAGGGTTCACAGTACATGCGATTCTGCTCATGCCACTTCTCTCTGCCCACCTGCCCGCCCACTTCCATGCGGCAGTTCATGTTTCTGACGGGCGGGGTGGTGTTCCTGACGCTCATAGTGAACGGCAGCACCACGCAGTTCGTGCTCGCCGCACTCAAGATGAACGCCACCTCCGACATCAAGGTGCCCCGCTCCCTCCCTCCCTCCCTCCCTGCTAGTCCTTACATGCACCAATCGTCATCAGTACCCATCCAACCACATCTCCCTCCCCTGTCATCTCGCTTTCTTCTCCGCTTAACCATCCTGCATGTTCCGCCACCTCCTCTGCGATTCCTTGCTTGCTCCGCTTTTCCACCCGCTCTCTCTCCCAATCCCATCCCTCTATTCCTGTTCCGGAATGCCTTCCTGCCTCGCTCTCAGTCACCCTCTGTTCCCGTTCTACCACCATCCCCCATTGCCTCATCCGCCCCAATCGCTACCCATTCTCCCGCCCCACCTCCCGCTCCCCCTCCTCCTCCCCTCTCCCCGCAACAGAAGCGAGTGGTGAACTTCACGCGCCAGGAGCTCTGTGAGTACGCAGTGAAGACGTTTGAGGAGATAGGAGACGATGAGGAGCTGGGGCCAGCGGAGTGGGCCACCGTCAACGAGTACCTCACCTGCCTCAAACAGCCCGCCTCCCACGGAACCCTCTCAGCCAGCGCCTTCCTGAGCCGATTCGGAGGCTCGGGGACTGGTTCGGGGGGAGGGTCGGGGGTGGGGGTGAGGAAGAGCCACCCGCATGATCACAGCCAGTCGCACGAGCAGCTGCGCGCACAGCAGCTGCATGACACCCGCCTCAGGTTCCTCAACGGTGCGCCCCTGCATGCCTATTCCGCAATCCCTGCCTTGTTGCTTTATTTTCCATCACGAGACACTGCCTGCTGGATCTCACTTGCTGGGCTGCCTGCCCCCTATGATTCACGTCCACCAGCATGGCCTCTCCATCCTCCCCCCTGCTCGCACTCAAGTCTTCTCTGCACTCCTCCCTTCCCTTCTCCATAATGCCCCCCATTGCCCCTGTTCTCCACCCTACCCAGGCGTGCAGGCGGCGTACTGGAGCATGCTGGAGGAGGGGCGCGTTAACCAAACAGCCGCCATGCTGCTCATGCAGGCCGTGGCCGAGGCCGTCGACCTCACCACGCAGCAGCGCCGCCTGCTGCTGTGGAAAGCCCTGGAGCCGCACGTGTGCATGCCGCGCTACCTGCGCCTCTTCCACCGCCGCCTGCGCCGCCTGCTGCCCCAGCGCGCCCTCAACTGGGTCACCGTCGACCGCCTCGAGCTGGCGGCTTCCATGAGTGCTGCTTACATCCGTGCTCTCCGGCATGCCCGGCAACAGCTGCGAGACTTTCTCAGTGAGTGGGATTGTTGATCAATGAGTGGGTGGGTGGGATTGTTCGTGAGTGGGTGATATCATCCGTGTGCACGGCCCCTGCTCCATCACTTGTGCCTTACTTCCCCACCTCTCCCTCGGCTTCCCTCTTGGTCCATCAGAGGACAGCCCCATATGCGAGGCGGTGATACTGGAGAGCGAGGAGGAGGAGACACCGGCCAAGAGGTTCATGGAAGACGTGCGCCTCAACTTCCCCGAGGTGCTCACCATCATCAAGACCAAGCAGGTCACCCACGCCATCCTGCAGGGCCTGCACGGTTACGTGGAGAATCTCGAGCACGCGGGGCTGCTGGACCAGCGCGAGGTGATGCATCTGCACAAGGCAGTGCAGGCAGACATGAAGAAGCTGCAGCGCAGCCCGCCGTTTGTGGCGATGCTGCCGGCGGGGGAGGTGCTGGCGAGGCAGCCGCTCATCGGAGCGCTGCCGGCGGACATCCGCCTGGCGCTGCTGCAGCCGCTCAAAGAAGCCACCAAACTCTCCGGTGCCTCGCTCTTCCACCAAGGGCAGCCCGCCCAGGGCGTCTGGCTCATCGCCTCCGGTACCGCCAAGGTCAGCATCCGTCCGTCCATCCGTCCGTCCATCCGTCCGTCCATCCATCCTTCATCTTCAGTGCTGGAAGATCAAATTCGTCTCTCATATGTCCCCTCTCTCCATTCTCGCACACCCTTCTTCCCGCACGTCTTATTCTCTGTCCCCCTCCCACCCCACCCACCATTGGCAGTGGACGTCAGCGCGGGCAGAGGCAGAGGCGGAGGCGCACGGGCACCGGTTCATCCCGCCGCTGTTTGCACACGGCAGCTCCGTGGGGCTGTATGAGACGCTGCGGGGGTGCGCGTACATGAGCACGGTGGCAGCAGACAGCGTGCTGCACTGCTTCTTCATCGACAGACAGCGCATCATGGATGCTGCAGGCAGCAGCGATGCCATTGAGGACTTTCTGTGGAAGGTGAGAAGCAGGGGGTGAATGCGACGCTGTGGGGGTGCACATCTCTCTCTCTCTCTCTCTCTCTCTCTCTCTCTCTCTCTCTCTCTCTCTCTCTCTCTCTCTCTCTCTCTCTCTCTCTCTCTCTCAAATGGTCCGTTGTATTAATTCAGCAGGGTTACAGACATGCAGTTCTATCCATGATAACCTCTATCCCATAAGCCCATCAACTCACCCCTCTTCCCCTCCCCTCCCCCCTGAGTGACCCTCTAGCCCTCCAGCGTGTGTAGGATGTCCTCCAGGTGCAGCGGCCAGGGGTCCGCTGCCATCTGGGGGTGTGCTGCCTCAATCCCAGCCCTGGCCTTGGTGTGCAGGGCGTTCGCCTGGGAGCGCTGGAGGGCCACTGATCAGCGCTGGCTGAAGTGGCAGGCCATCTTCTTGGCGGATTTTGCCAAGGGGCTGGCCCTGAAGCGGTTCCTAGCTGCTGCTGTGGCCAGCAGTTTCAGGAACGCCGTCGTGGGGGGCGCGTTTGCCCCATAGGTCTCGACGGCCAGGGCGCAGAACACCACGTGTTCAGTGTGTCGGTAGTAGTCCCTCTCCTTCCGCTTCTGTGCCTCCCTTGCAGCCCAACCTGGGGGTTTGCGGGCCGTGGGGTCTCGGTTCTGCAGCACAGGGTCAGTGATCGTGGTGTCTGTGATCTAGGTCTCTCCGCTGTCCGGGTCTTGTACAATCACATCTGCCTTCTTTGGGTCATCCGGAGGTGAGTACATCGCATTCTCCAGGTATACCACCAGCTGCGCCCCCCTCGCCATTTTAGCCATGGCGAAGGCCAGCTGGTTGTGTGCGCGCGTCCTCTCGGGGCCTGTGCTGCAGCGGAGTAAGTGGTTGGGTAGGCTGCAGTCGGCTACGAGTTCTCCGCACTCGCACACAGTTGGTGCATTCTGTCGGATGCCCATGCGGAAGGCCAGGGCCGCTCGGAACTGTCCTGGTGAGAAGCAGAGGTCCGGGGTCAAGGGTAGTGCCTGCAGCCACGCTCCCGCTCCCTCTCCTCTCAGGCTGACTAGGCGGAGTGTATGGCCCATCTCGGGGGCTGACTGTATTGCGCGTGACTCCTCTCTTAGGGCGTCGGCCTTTGCCGCGTGCACTTCCTGGGAGAGGGCGCGCTGCAGTTGGTCCTGGGACGGGGTTTGCTGCTCCTCCCGTAGGTTTTGTAGCGCCAGCGGTGGCAGTCGCCCCTCCATGTCCTGGATGGTCACGGAGTGCGCTGCAGACGGCTGCAGGGCGTTGCTGTCGGCCCCTAGCGGCGCGGTTGCCGGTAAGTCCAGGGAGCGGAGCAGGCGCAGCGCCTCTGTTGTAGATGCCAGGTAGGCCGGTGCTGCTTCAGTTGTGGGGTCCGTAAGGCCCAGTCCGCCTAGGGCTACTGGGAGAGTTGCCTGTCGGAGAAGGAAGTTGAACTCGGCTTGTCGGCGTGGCGGTTGAATGCTGGCGGCGGTCAAGGCAGTGTTCAGTAATTCGGCGCACCATGTGTGCCATTCGGAGAGCGGTAAGACGTCAGCTGGGGTAGTGCGCAGCAGGTAGCCGACTCTGCGGCTGATGCAACGAGACAGTAGCAGGAGGGCGTGTTGTGGGTGGATGGACGCCAGAGAGCCCAAGGGGGCTGCCGCGTCTGTCAGGGTGCTGCGGACAAAATCAGAGCAGAAGCTCTGCGACCCTACTGGACTTCCCAACACCCGCACCCCCTCGCGGGTGAGGGGAAGGCCCTCGGGGAGTACGTCCCCTCCTAGCGGCACGGTGGACCACGCCGACGACTTCCTAAAGTTGCAGGTGAGACCGTCCCGTGCCAGCAGCGGCGTGAGCTCCCTGAGCGCTTCCAGCTTTGCCGCCGCGGGTCCAATGATGGTTATGTCGTCCGCGTAAGCAAAGACCGTGACTTCGGGGTGCTCCGTTGCTACGTGCCTGAGGTGCTGCTGGATAGACGCTGCGAATAACAGAGGTCCGAGGGGATCCCCCTGTCTGACTCCCCTTCCGCTAGTGAGTGCCGTGGAATTGAAGCATGGGTCCAGCAGCAGTGGTGAAGATGATGCGTAGAAAGAGCGTGTGAAGGGGATTAGGGGAGCTAGTGGGGAGCCGATGAGTGCGTTGAAGAACGCGCTCCTCTTTACTGAGTTGAACGCGTTCTCAATGTCGAGCTGGAGTACTAGGCTGGAGGGCTGCACCGTGGTGAGGTCTCGGACAGCATGGATGACAAATTCTGCACCTCCAGGGACTGCCACGCCAAATTGCTGAGGTAGGAAAAAAATTCGCGTTTCTCCTTGCAGATCTGAGAGCGCCACCTTCGCCGCCAGCCTAAGCAATGACTCTCCAATCGCAATGGGACGTACCCCCCCCCCCTGGTTTGGCGAAGGATATAAGGCGGGGCGGGGCAAGTAGTGCTGCGACTTCAGTGGAAAGATTTGTCGAGAGAAGATGCGTAACGGCGGAGTGGAGGTGCCCTAGTACCTCGATGTTACTTAGTGCTAGATCGCGGTAGTGTTCGAAAGTTGACCCCGATGGGCCAGCCCCAATTCCCTTGGGGCATTCTCCAAGGACGTCGGAAAAGCGTTCCAGAGTGGTTGAGAATTGCGTGGGTGTGGTGGAGGAATGCACCCACTCGGGCAGGTCATTTTGGGGTTGGGGGTGTTTCGATTCCAGCTGCTGTAGTGTCGCAATTGTCGCAGGTGCTGAAGGCGAGGGTTGTAGGGCTGCTAACGCCTTTCGCAAGTTACCCCGTTTCACCAACCCCTCCGCACGTGAGCAGATTCCCAGTGGGTCACGTTGGTGCTGAGGTGGTTCGGCCAGGTGCATGTACCCCAAGTAGTCAGTGTACAGCTGGGTCCAGTGGCCACATCGGAATAGATGCATCTGTTCCCGCAGGAGTTTCCATCTAGAGCTGGATCTCCGGCTAAGTCTTAGCGTGAGACGTGGCAGGAACATGAGGACCCGCCATGCTCCTGCGCAGTTAGGCAGCTTGGAGATCCGAAGTAGGGCAGCCAGCATACAAGTGGAGTAGTCGCTGAGGATCTGCGGCGGCAGTCGGCAGACGATTGGTAGGTGGGTGGTGGAGGTTAGGAGTGTAAGGTCCCAAGTCATCGTGATCTGGAAAAGATCCTCCCGCGAGGTCAGCTGGGACGCCGATAGTGCCTGGTTAGGGGGAAGCTGAGCCCTGCGATGCTGTCTGCGGCCGGTTCCTCTCTCCTGTTGCTGCGCTTGCCCCTCTCCTTGCTCCGCGTAAGGTGAGGCGGGATCGTCTGGTTGCCTCAGATCTGACGGTATATAATCGTCTCCACTCCCCACTGTGTTGATATCCCTGTTTCTCCTCGCTTGTGCTGGTGTTCCTCCCCTCGCCCCCCGCGTGGCGAATGACTGGCGCGTGACTCGTTCCGCCGGCTCCCCCAACCAGATTGGGCTCGGCAACTGGCAGGGCGGTCCCCTTCCCGCTTGGCCTGCGCTCCTCTGCACTCCGCGTGCTCCTCGGCGCCCGCCTCTCCCCCGCGTGCTCCTCGTCGCCCGCCTCTCCCCCGCGTGCTTCCCCGTCCGCTCCGCGGGGTAGCTGCCTTAGGTTCCGCCTGTTGCGCTTGGGAGATCGGCGTTGTCGGCTCCTCGTATGCCAGTGGAGCGTCTTGAGCGTTGGCCAATGGATTTCCTTGGCGCTCTTGGCCGCGACTGCACCGCGGAGAGCGATCTTGCTTCCCGTCCGCTTCCTCCTACACGCCCTGTCGCGAGCGTGCCTGTTGCTCCGCCGGCATCCGCTGATCAGATCCGCCGCCGCTTCGAGGACCAGCGGCGCGAGTTGACTCCACGCGCGGGCAGGTCCTTGTCACCGCAGAAGCCCCCGCGCGCGGGGTCCGTCTTGCGCTCCGGCGCAGAGGCTGTGGCGCACCAGGAGTGTTCGCCTCGCCGTCGCTCATCGGCAGCTCGCGACGATAAGCGGGAGAGCCGCCGCGATGATCGTCACGGTGCGGCCCGTTCGCCGCTGTCGCCTCGTTCGCCTCGTTGCGTGGCGTCGCGAAGCCGATCCCGTGACCGCCGCTCGCATCGTCATCGTTCGCCCCCTCACCGTTCATCTCGCCAGCGGTCGCCTGCCCGCCAGACGTTTGGGCGTCGGCCCCCAGCTCCGCGTTCGCCCCCTCCTGCTAAGCGCCAACGGCTCTACTCCCCTCGTCGCGGGGACCGTTTTCCTGGCCGCCAGCGTCAGCAGGGCCCATCTCGCCCGCAGTCGCCTGTGCGCTCGAGCGCAAGTGGGCGTGCGCGTCGTGGGCGACGGGGGGGTGACAGTCGCGGCGGAAAAGCGCGTCCAGCGCCTTCCGCAATGGAGCGCCGTCTTCTGGATAGGCTTGATGACGCGGAGAAGGAGCTTCGTCGCTCGCGTGCGGGGTCGGCGTCACCATCAGCTCCTCGCGCTGCTCCCGTCGTCCCTCTCTCCGCGCTCCTGCCCCACAATCCCTTTGGATCCCCGGCGCGTTCAGAGCGGCCGCTGCCTGCAGGGATGGGCTTCGTAGGTGCTGGTGGCGGGCCGCCGTGGGCTCAGTTTGCTCCGCCGCGTCCTCTTCTTGCTCCGCGTGATCTCGCCGTGTCGTCTCACCGTGCCCGCGCGTCTGCGTTACTTCTGCCGATGAAGGAAGTTCCCACTGCGACCCTGGCCCGCTTTTGGTCGCTGGCGGCGTCCCTGCAGAGCCTTGAGCGGATTCTCCAGGAGTCATTTGACTCCATGCCGGTGAGCCCTCCGAGCAGGTTCTCTCAGAAACCGCGAGCAGATTGTCATGCGGCGGCGTCAGCGCTATTCGCGCTCGTAACGCCACTGCAGGTAGCGCCCTCGCCGGGAGCAACCTCGGCCAGCCAGCTGGCTGACTCGGCCCTGGCTCTGAGGACGCTTGTAGCAGGCCCTGGTACTCCTGTTGACGTTGTAGGCGCCACCGTGTCTGTGGTCCGCCAGTTGTGGTTGAACACGAGTGGAATGCTCGCTGCGGTAGAGGCGGACCGCATGTAGGCGCTCCCCCCTTGCG